GTGGGGTGCTCTCACATGGCTAGCCATGGTTCGAGTCCTGGACCTGGTGGCTTGCTTTCTCTCTGTGTGTGTGTGTGTGTGTGTGTGTGTGTGTGTGTATGGGTGTGTCTCTTTGTCAAATTAGAATATATACATGAATAAATAAATAAGTCTTAAAAAAACACACCAATATCTGTACAATGGAATCAGCAGGTCTAAAATAGTGATAGTGATGAAATTGGCTTAGTATCCTCTATATCTAGAAATTCATGGCCAAAAAGAAGCTATTATTTGTTTTTCCCATCTCCTCATGCTTCATATTATCCTTTCACAGATGGGATGTAAAAAGAAGCTGGCCCACCCAATCTCTCCTGACTGTATGTGCTCCGTAAGAATAAATGGAAATAGGGCCAGTTTTCCTGTGTCAGGACACTGTCAGCATAAGCAGGATACCAACTGACTGGCAGGCAGCATCCAGTGGGTCCCTATTCCAGCCCTGCTTTCTCTGCCTGATCAGGCAGCAGTTTCAGAAAAGCTAACATCCTGAAAGTTCATTTGCTGTTTGCAAGTCAGGGTTTAGAAGAATAGTCTGCTGTTGCTTTAGAGAGTATTTTATATACAGTTCGAGAATGCTGCTTCCCTAGGAAGGAAATCTTCTGATTTCTGGACTGAAGTAAATAGGAAGTTGTTGCCAAATCCAACCTGAGTCTGTGGTTTCCAAATTCTGAGGTGTGAGAAAGGACCATATGTTCTGTGACTGTGGTTCTCATCTATCCTAGAGATCCTAGTGCCTGACATATAATGGCCATTCAATAAATATTTCTTGATTAAATGAATGAATAAATGAGCAGTAGATTTCATAATGGCAACTTCATATTGAAGCATTTTCTGGTTGTTGGTGCTTAAAAGCCTATGGGAAGACACAGTTGGTAGTGATTCAAGTGCAGGTAAACACCCACACATAAAAACCTGAGTTTGCAAGACAAATAAAGGGTGATTACACGCTTTACAAATAAATAGAAACACACCTTAATGTAGTGGGCTCCTAAATGCAGACCTACAGTATTTCTCCAGTTAACAGTGAAATGAGAAAAAAACGGTGCATTACATTGTTCATTGTAATGCTAAATTAATCAAATGCAAAGAACTGTCCTTTATTCAAAAGTTGACATTCTCCTATTTCTGAGTCTAAATACATTTCAGTTTAGTAAAATGACAGGAATGGTCTATGCCAGTTATTCCTTTTTATTACCCTTACTTGACAAAACAAAGTTGCCGACCCTCCCCAGCTTACTGAAAAATATTTTATTGGAGTGTAAAATCCAGGTGCTGGAGACAGTTTTAACATATGATTCATTTTATAAACGTATGCAATTTTTTCAAGAAATGTATATACTGAATAAAGGAAGACAGTATCATCCTGGTCTTAACGCTCATGAGAACAACAGCTAACAGGTGTTGAGAGGCTGCTCTGTGCCGCGCTCTACTCTCAAGGCTTTTCAAAATGTATTCATGCATGTAAACGTCACAGTAGCCCAAGGATGCAGCATTACTGTTGTCTCCATCTTACAGCTGAGGTACTCTAGCCATAGGTAAGTCTTTGCCCTCAAATACACACAATACAATCAAGCAGCAGAGCTGGGATTCAAACCAATGATTCCAGAACATATTTACACCCTTACTATGAAGAAACTGGGCCATATGACAGTACAACCAAAAACAGTGGTTGTTATTTTATTCCAATCATTATGGAAATGGTGGTTCAATTAGCATACAGATTGTAAACTATCCAAAATATCGCTGTGCACCTCCCTCACTAAAGCATGTCTTGATGACCTATTTTTAACTTCATTATTTACACAGATATTGCTAGCAACATTCTCCCTTCTTAAACTCCTTGTCTTTTAACAAATAACAAACACATAACAAGAAAATATATTTGCAATGAGGCATTTCAACTCCTGAAAGCAGGAGCTCAAGTCATCAGGATTATGTTATTTTCAGGGCGAATTCAACCTTACAGTCAACAAATAAATATACTGCAGTTTAAATTTTCTATTAAAAAACCCCAGCTCTCAAATGTATATATCCACCCCACGGACAGCTTCGTATTTGAAATGGGAAGATCACAAACCTTAGCAGGAACTCACACATTTCCCTGCAGAGTTGGAAACTGCGGCAATTGGGCAAGTAGGTAAATCAGGAAGTACAATTTCTAACAAATTAAAAGCATAACTGATGAGTCAAACTAGACATTTTAGCTACACAATGATTAACCCACCCTTACACTCCTCTCCAAACCAAACCAAACAACTATCCCAAATAAACAGCAAACTGAATCTGACAGTCTTTAAAAATCTCCCATGTTTTCGAGTGGTAATTAGATTTACTTGGGTGGTTAAAGATAGGTTTCTGTCATTCTATTTACTATCATTTACACGAATTCTGCACTACATTAAGGAAGCTGTCATTTTATTCAAACAATAACGACAAATTTTAGCATTAACAATCCACGGGTTTCCCCCTCAAAATCAGTGAGTCAAGAGATCATGGAATTTCTGCAGTTTAAGGAAACACAGAGGAATATTATCCCATAGGTCCCAAGAATTGGGGTGTGTACATCCCGCCGAATACCTTGTTAAGCATACAGGACACTAATTTCGGACATTGAAGGTAACTCCTGCACAAACTCTTCTTTCAAATTTCTGGCTTCTGCTCAAGTACCCACCCCTGGTCCACATGCCCTAGAAAAACACAGGAACCAGTTCAAAGCCAGAGCTAACCACCTCGCACCTCACGCTCCTCCCCCGGACTGTGCATAGCCAGGCCCATCCCTTCTGAAGCCTGCCGGGGCTCTCCGGACTTCCCCCGCCCACTTCGCACACGTGACCAGGACCCCTACCCGCCTCCAACCCCGCTTCGCGCTCCACCAATCAGCAACCACCTCCGCCCAGAACCCGGTCTGCGACTCTTCCCTTTCAAACAGGCAGCTTACTCCTCCCACCTCCAGCCCCACCTCTTTCCTATATTCCCGCCCC